AGATTTATAAATAAACCAACAGTTGCACCAAAAGTCAAATAATTAGTGAATACAAATACATGTTAACTTACTATCAGCGGTGCTGAAATACTCTGGGTTGACGGAGGCGTAGAGGACGCCATCGGGCATCTGGTTTTGATGTCTAGAAAGTGGAGATAGACAGGAAAAATATAAACATGGTAGTGTAATGAAATTTAGGTGGACTGCAAATATGCATACTTGACTGAAACCTCCTGATGATGGTTTTGATGATTGTAATATTTGTGATTACGATGATGGCAATGAGGATGAGAATGGTGATTATTATCATACTGATGATAAAAAAAAACATTTTCCACCCATTTTTACAAAAAGAAGGGCAAACAACAATATTTTTAATTGGTCTAATAGTGTTAACGATGTTAACAATATTGTTGATGGTTATGATGATAAGGGTACTGTAGATTTGCGATGGTGGTAATGACATGAAGATTAGGATGACTACCGAGAATGTGTATAAAAAATGACACATGTGATGATGACACAATGTAATTCTTACTTTCTCTTATAATTAATCCCACATATCAATGCAACAACAAGGCAAATTATGATAGCTGAAGCAGCACTGGTGATGATAATCACAGACTTTATATCTTCGGAAGGCAAATGTACTGGTATGTCAACGCGAGGTTCTGGTACAATTACAGATACTGGAGCTGTCCATGTACCAATACTACCAAGACTGGTCGCTTGTACTGTTATCGTATAGTTACCAGGTTTAAGACTATCAATGGTGTATTCTCCATTGTAGTCATTTGCCGGCACACATTCATCTTCATCCTAAAATGAAATGAGAAAAATGTTTGAAACAATTTGTTTGAGACATGTGTTCGGTCAGTGCTTTACGTTTAACATATGTTCCCAATCTGCTGATTCACTCTGGCATGAGCAAAACACTTCATTATTTATCTTGCCAGGAATAAAATTACAGGTCTCACTTGAAGACCCTTCCAATTTAAGAACATTTCCAATTAAAGACCACATTTCAGTGCTACCAAATGTCTTTTATCCTTGTTATTTTAATTAAACATCAAAGCTGCTAACAACCATGAAAACTCCGGTCCCAAAATGAGGGAAACCTGTATTTTAATTTACAAAAGAAAGAGATTGTGTGAATCACCTCATCAGCTCCAGTGTCCAATTGTCTGCTTGCCCGGTTCTCCATGTCTTCGATGGATACTTTGAAGAGGAGAATGGGACCATTAGGTCGTATTGGAGCCTGCCATTTTACCGAGACGTAACCATGATCCCCCTCTTGAACAAATGATAAATTCACTTTGGCTGGGATGTTGTCAGCATCAGCTGTATAACAAGAAATCAAACTATTACTATAGTTTTGGTTCCTAGTTAGCTTAGTTGACCTACTAGAATAGATTTTGCTATTTTTTTTCCTCTACAGCACATAGAGATCACGTATTATACAATATATAAGTCTCCAACCATTGCTTATACTAAAAGCTATGAAAAGCAAAGTATCCAGAGTAATCCATTACAAAATGTTATTAATTTCAGTAACTCAACACTGAATAATCCAAGTGAGCAGATTACACTTAAATACCTTTGGGTTTGGTTCGTGCCACAGTGTACACCTTTTTACCGCAAGTTCCATCACCTAAACATGCCGATACCCCAATTATATACTCTGAGAAATAATCAAGATCATCAAGTTCTGTTTCGGTAACACTGATGAACTGAGTCCTCTCAATATACTCGAGCGATGGCGTCGTAGTTGGAGTAAAGCTTGGCATATAGGTTACATTATTAGCAATAAAACCGCTTCCCTTATTTGGCTCATTTTCAGTGAAATTGGCAACACCAACAGAGCGGATGCTTCTTCTTTTCCGCATACTAGAAGAACAAAAATGTTAACAATTTCTATTTTCAATAGTCTCTGGTAAGTGTACAAAGTTCTTTAACATAAGAAAGGCCTTTACACATGTAGGGATCAACCATCACGAATATTAAAGTGCTAAAGTAGCTTTTATAACATGCCTAAGCTGATCTTTATTTTTTGTTTAACAGATTTAATATTATGTGACAAAGGGTATAGATCATTTTCGCAAAAATCTGAAATGAAAGTTTCTGATAACCTGGCAACTACCACAAGGAGACTTCCAGAGGTCTACTCACTTCGTGCTATGTCTTTACCAGTGTGCGAGCCGCGCTCTATTTGACACTAGCTAGCTGCTTAGGCTAAGCTAGGCCGCTGGAAGTCCCCCAGTGAGTTGCAAGGTGTTGGCTGTGCTATTGCAAATAAATTGTCTATATACAATAGTTAATGGCATAACATTCAGAATTTTTGGAAGATGGGTTAGTTTATGGGAGATTTTTGTTTCCTCATGTGAGAACATGTTGATTTGCAGAATTAAAGGGTTAGTATAGACTTGGGCCCCTGCATTAAGACTGGTCTCCCAGAGTGTTTGGGCCGTCACCACCAATAATAGAATGCAAACAGTGGTAACTACAAATAAACTTAGTCGTCTGAGCTGTACTGCTGTTAATCATCAGTCTAGATAAGTTGTGATTTAACTTCCAACTTGGATATGAATCAGGCATCTCACCGTCTGAATCATATCGTAACATTTGGTTTGCATTCATATTTCACATATGTTTTGTATCACTAATTTAGTTTCACAATAAATTACAGTCTGCGATTGAAATGTGGATTCGTATCTTGGGTAAAGATATTAAGCAATAAAATCTATAAGCTATTATTGTCCTTTAGCATGTTTGAGTAATATGAACCTATACTGACAAGTATGAAATTGAACCTATGCTGGGGAAGTATCCAGAGAAGAGCTCAAAACAGACAGGAGTGGAAGACCTTCACTGCTGCCCTACATGCCAGAGAGGCATAATGGGAGGGAAGTAATACTGACAAGTTAACCAACATTTTCTAGACGAGACTTTTTTAATATCTTGTTTAGCAAACCCACCACCCATCAATAATCATTTCGAAGAAAATTAAAATTTTATTTTTGGTCAATTAGCGGACACGTTGCTAGGAAAAATGGAAATTTAAAAAAAAAATTTAGTTTTTTTAAATTTTTATTACACCTGTCGCTGCCTTGAAATCTTCAAAAATAAGATATGTATATTTCTTCCTAATTACAGTATATAAATATATGTATGAAAGTTTGCTATTTTTTACCTTCCAGAGATAAAAACAGTTGATTGAATAGTGTTCTCGAACTCAGATCTTTCTTTAGCAAGGTCTTCGTCAATAATTGTCTGTTCTTTCTTACAGGTGCAGGCTTCTTCAGCTGGCGAAGGTGTTGATAATTTGTTGTCTTCTTCTCCATCTACCAAAGTGTTGCTCAAAACAGGTTTCTCTGAAAATAGATAATCATACAAATTAAATAATAAATATTCGCTGAAATGAAAAGATGGGCAAATCCTGGGATAAAAAATTGCAGCACCATTCCCCAGACTTGCTAACTTTCCCTATAGTGTAGACAATTATTTATAGGACGAAGTCCAGTATCAGGTCACCATGAGATAAGCTTACTTTCTCGACAGAAGTTCCGTTCAGAGAAGCTCTCGAAATCATCTCGCCGCTTAGAATACGTTATCTTGTATGAAGTAATGTTGCCGTTAGGAACAGTCGGTGGTTGCCAGCTAACAATTAGTTTGTCTATTGCATCGGAAATAACTTGCACTTTCTCTGGTCCTTCTGGTTCTGTGGAGACAGTTATGTAATTGAATGTTATTTCTTTTCAATCAAAAATATCAAACATCAATACATAAATGTTGTGACATGTGATCCATTATTAGGATATCTTGTTTAGCAATTACCTTATAATTTTATGTACAATTTTTGTTTTCAAATTGCATTATCTTAAACGGGATACATTACTGCACTCACACAAGTCCCTAGATTGTGAATTGAAAGTCATACTGTATGTTACCCTGACATTCAGTCCAACAGTCAACCAGAAGATAAAATATAAGGATGTTTATTGTCAATAGGCATTTAAAGATGGTCAGTTGTCAATGGTTGTGCACTTAAATAGTGCACATGACATTTGTTTCTTTCCAAGACAACACAGAAGAAGATCAAAACCAGAATAAATGGTTGAAACAGGAAATAACACGCACAGCTATGGAAAATAATAATCTGGTCGAGAAGAGAGAAATTAAAAGAAAACTCATGACTTTCTGACCTACAACTGTGGTATCTGGGTCTTCGCTGAAAAGTGTTGGTTTTTCAACAAGTTATCTAAAAAAAGTTAATGGAGTCAAATTTCCACAGAAAGTAAAAAATATCCATCTTCAGATATTATGCAATGAATGTCTACTTAAAGCCAGACTCTGGAGGAAAAAATGTTTTTGATATGTTGTACAACTGTTTTTTCTAAGACACAAAAAGCACATTTGAGGAAAATCTAAAAAAAAAAAGTTAATGAGATCCAGACTTTTGAATAATAAGATGTCGGAAAACTTTTCTTTGACGCATGTGCATTTGCATAAATGTCTACACACACACATACACACTACACACAATAAAAAACATAGGAAATAGCAAGAGTGATTACAATAGTTCCTATTGCATTACATGCATAGGAACTAAAAAGTTAATGAGATCCAGACTTTTGAATAATTAAATACTGGGAAATTTAATAATCAGTTGGTCATCAAAAATTGGTTTTCCTCGAGCGAGACTTGGAATAACCATTTATTAATATTTTTCATCTTGGAAACGAGGGAGAGATTCGTAGGACCTATGTTATGACAGCCCCTACCAAAACAGCAAATTTCACAATAAAAATACTATTTCACAAATACAGGAAAATTTAAGACCAATAACAACTCTACAGGTTACTCTCATTAAGTCGCTCAAAATCCATAAAACCTATCCAACGCTATTAGAGAAGATGCACGACATTGTAATCCCATGGAAAGCAGCTAACAACAACAACAGATGGATGGAGGAAAATTATCAGCCAACCAGATGATATCAGGCAAGTAGAAAGGCTGTAAAGTAGCAAGAAAAAAAAATTAAATTAATAGAATACATACCCTTCTCTCCTGTTCTAAAGTAAATAATATCACTCTGCGCTCCCTGTTGTTTTCCCTTTATAACAAATGCCTTCACATATATTCCATATTGCTTCCAGGCTTTCAAACCCTTCACGAGTCTACGAGAGCTTTCTGGAGAAACATCTTTCGATTCCCAAAGACCTGCCTCTCCACATGATCCAACTCCATCAAACATTGTCAGGTTCTGAGAATCTCTGTAACAAAAGAAATTATGGTTGAATGATAATTTTTTTAACTTAGTGAGAATGAGAACAAAAAAAAGACATTGCTTTGCATTGTGTTGATTGCACGAAGAATGAGATCAATTTAAATAGAAAACATTAAAACTGTAAATACTTAGAATTATATGTAGAAGTGTTTGGTGTAACATGTAAGGCATTGAACTTTCAATTGGAAGGTCGGGGGTTTGAGACTGATGCTCGTCACACTGCTTGCGTCCTTGGGCAAGACACTTTTTCTGCATTTCCCTCTCTTCACCCAAGAGTATAAATAGTTACCCGGTAGGAGTGATTCAGAATGAAGTTAGTAGTGCTGATTACACACATAACTAGGAATGCTCCCTAAGGACGGAGGAGTTTGTGATCCATTTAGTATCCTATCCAATGACCAAAGAAATAAGTCCCTTGAGCAGTTTCTGGGTATGTGTGCTACATAGAACCCATAAAATAATAAAAATAACTAAAAATAAATAAATACTTTATGGAAATATGGGAACAATTGATCACCGGATTGGTTCTACATATTAAGATCTTGAAACTATCGCTTGTACACTCAATCGTTGCAAAACAAAATGGCACATTAAAAAAACACATTAAATTAATACAGAAATATTGCAACCAAAAATTTATGAAAACGACAATAAAAATGGCAATGATGATGATGGCCTATTATATAGTATAAAATTCTCTTTAAAAAATACAAGAAATTAAAAAATTTACAAAAAAATAATTAATATAGCAATGTTTAAAATGACTTATTTACAATGAAGTGTTTAAGATCTAATATAACCAATTTGCTTAAACCTACTCATATGGACATCGGACCTCGTAGACATAAAAACACAAGGCTATGAAACCACAATTACCATAGACATAAAATATATACCTCCTCATACAAATGTAAATATATGGAAGTGTTTGTAGAACTAGAGCACACTGCAGTTCTATTCCAGGGACATCAAGTATTTTGTTTACAACCTAAACTGAGTAAGCATGTCTCATCTGTCTTTTGAAGTCGGTCAACAGATCAGAACAGGAGACAGTTATTAGGACACAATCAGCAGTCTATTCATACTCAAAGAAATCTGCCCTATTCTGGTAGATTATCATAATAGCAAATAAAATTGCTCTCTCCTAGTGCCAGTAAACACTTAACAGGTTCATATGATATTACAATACACCCATTAAAAATGTCAATGGGTCTGGTTCATGAGGGATAGTACTGCTGAAGGTTTCAAGGCCACATCAATATATAGTTTATACATAATTTGAATATTTAAAAAAGATGCTTACTACCTCATGACAATACCCATGAAGATATGTTATTTACAAAAGCCACTAACTCAAAAAAGTAAATGTGATATTTTTAGAGGAAAAAAGAAATCTGAAATTGGAAAATCCAATTTAATCCTAAGAATACCATACAAAATTCAAACGATGCTGAAATCTATTTATCATTAAAAAAGGCACAAATCTGTAATATGTGTACTTACGTTTCACGCCACAAAATCTGATAACCAAGTACAGTGCGTATGTCATACCATTCCCAGCCATCATGATTTGACCAGGAAACTACAACAGATGAACTATCAATGTCATCCAAGTCCAAGTCTAGTTTATTCACCCCACCTTTGGTAGGGGGAAAAAAAAATAGATTTAAATATGATTTACAGTACTGGTAGGAAGAATATCTTTCAAGAATATCTTTCGGAAGGTATCAAAGGGCATGTGAAATTATGCAAACTCTTGATTTAGTAGGAATGTTAGCATACTCTCTGACAACAACCATATATCATTCTACTTACTTTAATATTTGTTTAAAGTTTCAATTCTCATCTGTGTCAACTTGCAATAAGAGCTCTTTTTTATTTCATAGTTGTTTAATATGTGTATCAATTTGGGCCATAAAAGCATATAAAAGTGTTAATTTAATCAGTGCCTAGCTACAAGAAAAGCTATTTTTAAATCAGTTATTTATCATGTGTATCAAGTTGCAATACAAGTTTTATGTTTAAATCATGTCTGTTCCAAGTTTTGGAAAAAAAGTAATTAGGTTTATAAGTAAATAAATTACAAAAAAAAAGACACTTATTCTCCCATGTTTTAAGAAAAACTGTAATTGGCACCATGTGTCTATTACTATTAATTGCACAATAAATTATAGTATGTCTTGAAACTACATTTTTTTTTAAGGTAAAAAGAACACCTCTGCTTTTCTAAAAAAAATGGTAATGATACCTACATGCTATTTGGTGTCCATTAGACTCTGGTGAAATATCAATCTCGCTTGCATTTGCAGCTCCAATAATAAGCTTCTGAAACTTCTTAATTTCTGAGAAACAGAGTTTTGGATTCTCGTGAAATGAGAGCAAGCTTTTGTCCCCAACACTGATATTCACATGGTTGTCCAAAGAGAAAATTTTCTGCAAGTTGCGATTTTCTAAGACGTAGAATGCGTACTTACTGTAAAAAAATTTTTTTAAACAAGTCACAAATTCAACTTCCAGTTTATGTACTTTCAAATGTTCATTAAAATCTTATTTCCCTTCATTTAAAATTAAATTGTACTTATTCATACTAACAGTTACTAGCTTCATTTCAGTAGTAAATTTGGGTGTTATGGATGATCCACACACAAGACGAACATGATTAAATAAAAAATGTGTATGTGTTGCGGGTATAAGACAACCCCCGTTTTTCAATCATAATTTGCTATTTAAAACCTGGTCTTATATGCGAGAATATACAATATTCATCTCTATACATGAAATCTTTGTATAGTACAAAATTAAAACAAATCAAATCATATCACATCACTTACTTGTTTTTCTTTTCCTCTGCCCTGATTTCTCGAAGACTCTTCAAGAAGTCAAGGGTGACAAGAGGGTATGAATGTGTGATTGAGATGTAGCCAGAAACCACTTCTATCTTCCCAAGACTCTCTTCTAAACCCTTAGAGATGTTAGCTGTAGGAGAATATACAGTATAACTATAAGATTATGAATGGTTGGTAATGAATTTGGTGACCATGTAATGAAAGTTCTATATACATTTGCTTTGAAAAGTTAAGTTATGCAGATATGCATCAAAGAAAAAAAGATAATTTATTATTGATTGCTAGTGAGCAGGTTGTGATGCGAGTCATGAGATAGTACTGTACTTTGAGTTTATAAAAAGGCTGACGAGTTGTTCAGTAAAAATATTATAATATAATTGGTTATGAGCTCTTTGTGATAAAATTGATTAGCAGTAAAAAGAAAACAATAATTATGATCAATCATGAGTAACCTGTAAAGAAATCAATGTCTCTAAATATGAAGGGTTCAATTGCTCATGAGCATATTGTGATGAGGCCAATGAGCAGATGCACCCCCACCCCCATGACAGAAAATCAGTTCTACTAAGTGGGTTAAAATACTAAAAATGACCATTTAAAGTAAATTGCTTAAAGGTTTGTATGGCGAAGAAATAATATATATGTTGAAGCTTGCGGTACACCACGTAAGTAGTTCTGAAAAGAACTGTTGTAGTTGAGAAAGTCTCGACGTTTCGATTGAGATGCTTCAATCGTCTTCAGGAGAACAATATCTGCAGACACTCCAAACAGGGAAATACTTATATATATGTATACATATGACCATTTAAGTCACAGTATTAAGCCCATGCCACTGGAAATAATGGGTTCAATATAATTGTCCACGAGCAATTTGTGATGATGGTTAATTATAGCCATAATAATTCCTTAGTAAATAGCAACAATATGTTTATTGATAATTGCTCATGAGCATATTGTGATGAAACCAATGAGCAGATACTGTCTATAATTCTTATTTTCTAAAAATGATGGGCTGAATATAATGCTCATGAGCAGTTTGTGATGAGTGTTAACAGCCATAATATTTTCTTGGTAAATTACGATGTTTGTTATTATTAATCATGAGCAGTTTGTGATGAAGTCAATGAGCTGTTATTCTCAAGACATTTCCTAGTCCCTGAAGATGTAGGTTATTAAACAAACACGTATAATACGTTTGCTTATGATCGATTTGAAATGAAGCTAACAAGCTTTTCTTTGATTAGGCTGATTACTAAGCTTAATTGGGATCCACAGAAAAATTGCTTTGCAAGCACAAACAAGAGTATGCGATGCATTTATCAATAGAATTGTTATTAGAGGCAACGACCTCCGTTGACTACCACTGTGTTCCTGTTTTTTATGCTTCATTTCTTCACATTCTTCCCATAAATAATTAAACTGATATCTAACCTCTATATATTATCTAACAAAATATTCATATTTGTTCATAACACATAAAAAAAAAATGTTAAAAAAGCATATAATTTCCTTCAAATGATCATTTACGAGCAAGACAAAATTTATACAAGAATGAAAAGTGCTGTGTGTGACTAACAGAAATCATCATTCACAGACAGGTGTTCCAGCGAAGATGAGGTACAAAACACATATTGCACCTACAGGTGAATGAATGTTGAAGAATCGAATATATAATGAATGAAAAAATAACCTTGCATACTGAGACTGTACTCCCATTACCGTTATGTAAGTAGATACTATAAATAGCTCAAGCATCATAGCACTGTGACGATATTATTCTATAGTTGATAATTTTTAAATTTTTATATTATATTTCTTTGCATTATATTTTCTTTGTATTTTGGCACAAGGACAAAGACATTAATTTACACTTCTCTTAAGAGCTCTGGAATATTTTGTATGTAATACTATTATTAACAAAAAAAATTAATACTGTAAAACCTCAAAATAAAGCCCACTGGGCTTAATCTCGAGATGAAGCCCATCTCGAATTGAAGCCCCCCTTTTTAGTATGCAAAATTAGCCTCGAAAAGAAGCCCATATCAAAAAGAAGCCCATGGGCTTCTTTTCAAGATAGCATGGGCTTCTTTTCAAGATATTACAGTCACACACACTGTACATGAATTTCAGAAAAAATAAATTAAATACAAAAAAGCTTGGTTTATACAGTAGTTTAGGTGATTAAATGCCAGTTAAATACACTCCATGATTCTGATTGATGTTACAGAGGCCTTATTTATTGTTTGACAGTACAAATTCACAAAATTTACAGCATTCATTTTGAAAAGATGCCCCCCCCCCCTCTTTACTTTGCAAGTAGTCTCGAAAAAAAAGCCCATCCAAAGTTCGCAAAGAAAAGAAGCCCAGGGCTTCAATTCAAGGTTTTACGGCATGATTAATTCTATAACGTTAGATGCAACAATTTAGATTTATAGAAAAGTAAAAAATATCACTAGTAGAATATACAAATTATTTATATATTTGAACTTAAACATGGATATTGAAACTATAATAACACTAATAACAACCACTGTCAAGCAATGTTGTTGCTGAAAATTCTCATGAAAAGATGTGATTTTTCAGCTGGGAACAGAGAGTGGTAATCTATAGTATTCCAGGCTGTAAGGCACAGCCTGCATGAAATTTATGATGCTATAAGTGTAATAGGCCTACATGTTGCAAGCAATAGCTGTTGTGAATTTGATCTGTGTATTGAATGGCTCAAGATGTTCTGAGCGACTAAAAAAATTAACTTACAATAACATAAACTAATATGAAAAAATATACTTTATAATTTAAAGCAAACTATTTGAAAGATATTTCTAAAATTAAGAAAAACTATTTAGTGTATTCAAGCCTGTATGTAGGATTTTGTATAGGGAGGTACAAATTGTCAGTGACTTGGACTTTGGATGGGGCTAAAAAAAAGTTCCCTGGTGGGATACATTGGTAGAGCCCTGTTTGGGGTCATGGGGAAAATCTATGACTTTTTGATACCCTATAACAGAAGATACAATTATGAAAATATTTATTGGCTACACCTACCACACAACCCTATCATCTTTGTTGTATGGGCATTATATATTGAAATTATTTGTTGATGCAATTACATAAGGTGATGGTTATGGGAGCCGAGTCATGCACTTTACTAGGTCTACCTAATATCATTATTTACTCTTAATATTTAAGTGCAAGTAGGATTTTAAAACGTATAATAAATATTGCATTGGCAATATAGGAATAAACTATACAATATACTGTATTAATGAAACAAAAATATAATATTTACCATGTATCATTTACCATTTTTCAACATATTTAAAACACAGTTTATAATCTTTATTTCTTTATATCACTATACATAGTTGTTTAAACAACAAATGTTCTTAAGTGTGCATGATTATAAAAATATTTTTCTAAGTAGTCTAATTCATCAATGTGTCAGCAGTCATGACTGAACATTCTCAAACAACATGTGTCATACGACTGAGATAGCATTAGCTTTCTCCTGTAAACATTATAAACATTGTTGTGAGAATCTTTAATGATTGAGCTGTTGTTTGTGCATGGGACCAGAGGCCAAGACTAGGCCTAATACTAACGTGAGATGATTACAGCTTAGTATAGTAGTGAAGATGCCTTATAATCCCAGGTTCCTGGGATTAAATTCTGTAAAATACCAGGATTTTTTTCAACTAAAAACAACTCCACTCCCTGGTAATCCTCATAAGCAAACTAAAGTACAAGATTCTTGTCTGCTGCAGGGTGAATCCAAAGATGTGCAAAAGGGGGGGGGGGGAGAGGGCCCAATAGCGGAGGCGAAAGTGGAGCCAATTGGGATAATAGTACCCTACGGGTCCGGGGGCATGCCCCCATGAAATTTTTGTGTTCTAGATACCCGAAAATAACCTCTGAGGCGTTTCAGGAGATCAATTTTTTACTTTTTCTCAGATTTTGTGTAATATTCTAGGCCTATACTTGTTTTGGGAGAATTACTTATGCCTAGTGTAAATGCGACAGGCACTGTGTAGTAAGTATCATACTAATTTGAGTAGCACAAAATGTTTGTGCTGATTTACCGTCCAAATGCGTGCACAGCTCTGGAAGAAATATATTGTAGCACCATTATTTGGTCATTGAAAAGTGCAACATCTAGCCCCGAGCGCATAGAGACCTCGTTTATATGCGCTATATAAATTCATCTATTATTATTATTATTATTATTATTATATATTGAGTTTCTATTTATGCCCATTAAAATATCATAAAAAAAATAATTTTACAACACGTGACAAGAGGACTTGTCATGCTATAGAAGTAATACATTATTCAAATTAAGTTGTTCAGTAGCAAAGGAGCAGCAGAGTATAGGTAAGTCGAATGTACCACTTCAGTGATTGCGGCTGATACGATCGCGTATATGTTCACTAAATAATGGAATAATAAAAAAATTATAAACTGACCATGTTAATCACTAAAACAAGTCAATAAGTGATGAATAAGGAATGTCTACATTCATCACATATTAGCATGTATTGAAACCATTTTTTACTATATTTTTTACCAGTATGCCTATCTCACCTGCTTTACCATTAAAACATAATTTTTATTGGAGTTCCCTTCTTTTTGCACCCCTCCTACAAATCTGAACACACCAGTACCTCGCAGCCTCGCGAAAAGACGCCTTTTTGCGAGTTATATTACACCATATTCATACTATTAACAGGACTGTCATGAGTTCATGGAAAACACAAAGCAAACTGGTCCACTATGACTGCTGTCTCTTATACACATCTGGTCATGGGGAAAATCTATGACTTTTTGATACCCTATAACAGAAGATACAATTATGAAAATATTTATTGGCTACACCTACCACACAACCCTATCATCTTTGTTGTATGGGCATATATTGAAATTATTTGTTGATGCAATTACATAAGGTGATGGTTATGGGAGCTGAGCCATGCACTTTACTAGGTCTACCTAATATCATTATTTACTCCTAATATTTAAGTGTAAGTAGGATTTTAAAACGTATAATAAATATTGCATTGGCAATATAGGAATAAACTATACAATATACTGTATTAATGAAACAAAAATATAATATTACCATGTATCATTTAC